TGTCGTGTGCCGGTGTGATGGACTGTCCTTGAGCACCTTGGGTGCCGGGGGGGGATGGATCCCCATAAGCCCCTCAGGTGTCAGGGGGATGGAGTCTCCCTGAGCACCACGTGTGTCAGGTGAAGGCTCTCCATGTGTGTCAGGTGAAGGCTCTCCATGTGTGTCAGGGGATGGCTCTCCATGATTGTCAGGGGATGGTTCTCCACGTGTGTCAGGGTGATGGACTCTGGAGCACCTCCACGCCGGCGGGGCTGGAGGATGCAAGGCAGAAGCACTGAGGTGTCTCCTCTCCTTCCAGCCACCCCCCTGGACATCCCCAACATGTTCACCTTCTGGGAGGACCGGCGGCCCAACCCTGCCCCGGAGCCCCTGCAGCGCATCTCGCTGGTGCAGAGCTCACGGGACGTGCCCCTGCCCGGCGACTGCAGAGCGGGGCAGATCGAGTCCAGGCTGGAGCTCCTGCAGGCCCAGCTCAGCAGGTGGGCAGCTCCACGAGGAACAGGGTCTCACAGAGGACCCAGGGGCACTCCGGGCCATCACCTTCTGCTTTCTCTGAGTGGCCACAGCGGGTTCTGTGATGGCAGCAATGCCACCTCCCGGCCCCTGGCACGCCGCGTTCCCGGGGAGGCGGTGGGAGCGCTTTGAGAATGCAGCAGCTTCTCAAAGGGCAAGTCCTGTGGCCCTGGCTGCAACCCAGCCCCTTGTCTGCCCCTGTGCCACCACCCCTGGGGTCAGCCACCACCCCCGGGATCTGCCACAGCGTCGCCACCCCTGGGATCTGTCACTTTGCCGCTGCTTCCAAACTCAGTGCAGTCACGGACATCAAACCACCCACAGGCACGGCCTGAGCCCTCTGCAGGCCTCCTCTTCCTGCTGCAGAGAGCTACAGGCATCCTCTTGCTCGAGCAAACAAGCCTCATGCACGTTGTTGCTCTCTAAATAAGAAAAAATACAGGATTTTTCAAACTGATAGAGAGGAGGTTTAAATTAAATATTAGTAAAAAAATCCTTACTGTGAGGGTGGGCAGGCCCTGGCACAGGTTGCCCAGAGAAGCTGTGGCTGCCCCTGGATCCCTGGAAATGTCCAAGGCCAGGCTGGAGCAACCTGGGCTGGTGGAAGGTGTCCCTGCCCATGGCAGGAGGTGGGACTGGGTGACCTTTAAGGTCCCTTCCAACCCCAACTGTTCTGTGATTTTTGGACAAGGGGGAAGAGCCCACACTGGAGGTGCAGGTTTAAGGTCCCCCAGGCAGGACCCATGTGAGCTCTGTGGGCTCTGCTGCCCGTGTTGAGCTCACACACCCATGTTTAGGTGTCTCACCAGCGCACCAGCCCAGCACTGGGAGACAGATCTGCCCCTCTGGAAATGACGCCATGCCCATGCCCTGCAAGGGGGGCTGTGCCCGCTCCTGCCAGAGCTGCTCACATCAGTGAGGGTCAAAGCAGAAGGAAAACATTCCTACTTTTCCATTTCCTTCTATTCCTCAGTTAAAAATGGTTGGCACCGACCTGCCTTGCTCCATCTGTCAGCGCAAGCTCCTGGCCTGGACAATTGATCCAGATTAAAACAAACCATTGCAATTTTTTTCCCCCCTCCAGGGTAGTTTTAGCCTTTTTCAAATCCCCACTCCAGATCCCACTTTGGCTCCACATAGAACTGGGCAGAGGATGATTGAGGATGGCAGGAGAGAGATGGCAGGATTGATTTCTCCGGTTTGAAGCTCTCTAAAAAACCTCAGCGAGCAGCGGGCAAAGCATCATTCCCCCCTCGGGCAGCAGAACGGGCACCTCCTCCCCAGCGCCTCCCCTGCCCGGCCCAGGGATGCAGGGGGATGCACTGCACTAACACTGGGCTGCTCTGTCCCCAGGCTGGAGTCCAGGATGTCATCAGACATCAGTATAATCCTGCAGCTCCTGCAGCGCCAGCTGTCCCAAGTGCCCCCCGCGTACAGCCCCATCTCGCCGTCCTCCCAAAACCTGGCCATGTACGGGATCCTCCCGCGGAGCCTGGAGCCCCTCACCCCCTGTGCACCTCTGGAGGACGAGGAGACGGCGCCCCAGGAGCAGGTAAGGTCACCCCTCCTGGCTCAGCCCCCTGAGCTCCCTGCAGGCAAAGCACGGCCAAACGCTCGCAGGGGCCCAGGCAAAGCCCACTGGCCTTGACATGGGAGTAGATTTTCCTGGTGCACGGGTGATTTTGGGGCACAGCTGCCACCCCCAGCACTGCCAGGCTGCCCCACCAGCAGGGAGGGGAGGGGGTTCCTCCTCTACTCTGAGGCTCAAGCGAAAAATGACATTTTGGGGCTCGGAGCTTGGCGAGGCTCCAAGGCTGACGAGGAGAAGACCGTGGCTGCTTTGTTTTGCTTCTCCCATAACCCACTGGCTTCCCTCCTTTCCCACCAGAGCCCGAGCTACACGGAGGTAGAAAAGTTCCACTTGAAACCCACGGACTCCTTGTCAAGCGGGATGCACCTCTCCGGCTCATCCGACAAAACCATGCCAGCCCCCTCGGAGCAGGAGCAGCGCTCCCCACCTCTCCCCAGCCCAGAGCCCCCCCACCAAAGGGCACCAAGCACCCAGGGACTCTTGAGGGGCTCTCGCTTCCCTTCCCTCCCCGAGCACTTGGAGGCACCTTCCGAGCACCAGGACATTCAGAGACACCTCTCCGACCCGGTGCTTCCTGGAAGTTAGAGACTGCAGGGCAGGTCAGGAGGAACCTCAACTGCGAGCTGGGTCAGTTGATGTCGGTTTTGACTGCAAGGGTAAGAGGTTGGACAATGCCATTGGCTCAGGGGTATAATCTGTAGCTGTCTTCTGCCACCGTGAAAGGAAGCGTAGCGTGGCCGGATCCCGAGGTCGACGTTTTCCAGCGGTTCCCAAATAGAGTAGGTTCCATTTGCACATTATAGCCAACCCAGAACAGCTCTTCCAGCCACCAAGGAGCTGGTTAGGCCAAAAGGTACCCAGCGCCTCGTCCTTGCCAAGGCTTCCTCTCCAGAATGGCACGAGCCAAGTGACCGCAGCGACCGCAGGAGGGCAAATCCACGGCTCTCAGCTGTGCTGGGAGCTCTGTGGAGCAGGGACCGTGGGTTGGTAGCAGGTTTAGCCCAGCAGAGCCCGTGGGCGCTGCAGGAAGGGTGGTCAGCACAGGAGGAGGGGGAGATCTCCACGGCGTGCTCTGTGGGGAGCTGCAGGCGGGAAGCCCAGGGCAAGGACAGAGGGCAGAAGCTTGTCCTACTTGACTGCCACTGAGAAACTAAGGGCCAACAGCCCCTGCCACTGCAATGCTTCAGCACGAGCCCCACAGGGCACTGACTCCTCCAGCAAACCCCACCGACACCCCCCACACCTCCCCCAGACGAATCCAACCGGTCACCGGCCCGGGCGTAAAGCACAACACTCAAAAGCACAATCCCAAGAGAGCTGAAAAGCCCCCCCTGGACACCTCCTCCTGTCCAGCCCTCCCTGCCAGCTTCTCTCTTTTGATAAAGAGTTTGATAGGTGCTTTCCCCCTCCCGGCCAGCCCCTCTCCCGGCAGCATTCCCGTAGGAGAAGCCCACGTAGCGCCGCCGCCTCCTCCTCTGCCGCTCGGGTAGATGCTGTGACAGTCCTAGGCCGCCAGCTCAAGTCATGTATCGAGCTCCCCTCGAGAGTAGTCAAACTGTGAGCAGCTCTTTCTCTGGAGTTTTAGTGTACACTTTGCTAATAAAGATGTTTTTGGCACCTGACGCCGGGGTGAGGGCTGTGCTCGTTGGGAGCGCCTGGGAATTCGCCGTTCATTCCTGGCAGTGTAAAATGATAAATCCGGCAAGACCCCCCCAAAAAAAGGCTGTGGTCAAACCCCAGTGCTTCATCCAGGGAGTGTGGGGCTGAGGGAGCACACGTGCAGCTCTGACAGGTCAAGGATGGAGCCGGGGTGGTGGTGGAATTTGCCTGAGGTGTGTTTGCAAGACCATTTCTCATACACAGCTGGCTGCTGGTGTAGAAAAGCTGTTCCAAAGCTCTGCCGAGTCTCGGCTGCGTCCCATTGGGAAGGAATTACTCGGCAAAGATCACACCAAGGGTCCTTGCAGCCAGCGGGGCTTCGATGGGCACAGCCCTTCCCAAAGACCCATCCTCCCCTCGCATCCCCTGTGAGCGGGCACAGCTCCTGGGAGGGTGGGGACCGCTCCTTCAGGTGGGGTGGACCCAAGATCGCCGATCACAGATTCCACATGGCCCCCGAGAGGCGAGGAACCCCATCGGGGGTTAAACCAGCCCTCCCCGTCCCCACCCCCGGGGCGATCCATCCCGCGGTGCTGAGCCCCAGCAAGGAGTCCCCCTTCCCCCAGAAAGGCGGCGGGCACGCGCCAGTGATGCTGCTGCTGCTGCTTCCAAAAATAACCGCCGTAATTAAGCTCCGGTTAATTAGAGCCGATCCCTGCCCCGTCCGTCACCGGGAGGGAGCGGGACTCGAACCCGGGACCGAGAGTGGCCCCGCCCGCCTCGGGCTGGTGTGACTGACATGGCTTTCAGCCAATCAACCACCGATAAGGGCTCAAGATCCCGCCTCCACCCACTGCGACCGCCGGCAGCCAATAAGATGTCGAGAACTCTCGCCCCCGCCCCTCAGGGGGCGGGGCCAAGGGCAGCCGTAGCTCACCCCGGCCGGAGCGTGAGCGCCCGTTCTGAATGAAGGGCAAACGGACCAATAGCGAGCCGGGGCGGGCCGAACGGGCGGGCAAATCGACCAATAGGTGCGCCCTCCTTTCTGAGTGACAGGCAGAGCAACCAACCGGCGCGCGGCGGGCGGGGCTCCCCGCGTGGCTTCCGCTCCCGTTGTGTGAGGGGCCGAGTCCCGGACGGGCTCAGCGCCGGCGGGGCCGCAGCGGGACCGGCTCGGGGGGCTGACCGGGGCCGAGCACAGCCCATCCCGGCCTGCCCCGCCACCCCGCGCCGCACCCAGCCTGCCCCGCTCCCGCCGCCGCCGCCGCGGGGGCCGGGCTGGGCCTGCCCCGCTGAGCCCCCGCACCGCCGCCGCCGCCGCCGCCCCGCTCCCCCAGCCCGGGGGCGTCCCCCCGGCCCAGCCATGTCGCTGCACGGCAAGCGGAAGGAGATCTACAAGTACGAGGCGCCATGGACCGTGTACGCCATGAACTGGAGCGTCCGGCCCGACAAGCGGTTCCGCCTGGCGCTGGGCAGCTTCGTGGAGGAGTACAACAACAAGGTGGGGGGGGGGAGGGGGCCCTCCTCGGCCCGGTGGGGAGCCTGGGCACCCCCAGAGCCCGCAGGTGCCCCCCGAGGTGCAGGGGGTGCAGCAGACCCAGGGTGGTCTCCTCCCCGCTGCTGGGTTTTCGGGGGATGGTGCTGTTGTATTTTTGGGGGGGATAACGCCGCTTGCTGCGGGGCTGGGGTTGGCCCCTGAGCTCCGGGAACAGCCGTGGTGATGGTGATGATGATGATGATGATGGTTTGAGTCACGCAGGCACGGCGTGCTGCGAGGGCTGTGCGGTGCAAAGGGCTGCGAGGGGGAAGGGGTGAGTGAGGGTGAGGCGAGGAGCTCGTGGCCGGGACTAAAGTTTGTGCATAAATATATTTTTTGTGTATAGATATATATATAAGAAAGTTCGACTTCTAACACGTGGAAGATCTCCTTCCCATGGAGGGTGGCAGAGCGCTGGACCAGGATGCTCAGGGAGGGTGTGAATCTCCCTATCTGGAGATATTCCAACCCCCCTCCAGGACACTTCCCTGTGTCACCTGCTCCAGGTGACCCTGCCTGGGCAGTGGGGGTTGGCCTGGATGATCTCCAGAGGTCCCTTCCAACCCCAGCTCTCCTCAGACTGTGTTGGGAATGTGATGTTCTGGTTATATTTCCCTGCTCTCGGGGACTCCCGTGTGATAACTTTTTTTTTTTTCCAAAGTGTATAACCCACTTCCAGTGATTTCCTCAGCAGTTTTCCCTGAGAAGGAGGGTGTAATGAGGCGTGAGATTGTATCTTCAGCGTTTCAGGGGAACCTCACACAGGTGACAGAGGCTGTGCCTTCCTCTCAGACAACTCAACACAGCCACTTCTGAACACTTTGAGATGCTGAGCTGGTTCTGATGAATTCGTAGAAATAAAAGAGGGGTGGGGAGATGGATGAAGTTACAGAGCATGCAGAAATCTGTGTGAGACTGAGGATTTTGCCAGCGGGTTTGTGTGCTGACATCACGTGGCTTTGTCGAGGGGTTTAATGGAGGTCGTGGAAAATGCTGTCAGAAAAGTTGGGGACTGGGCCCTGGGCAGGGCTGGGATGAGGGAGGGACAGGGGTGACACCTCTCGGGTGCCTTTTGTTTAAAGACCAGCTTGAAAACGTTCCTGTAGTCTGTGCTCTGAGGAGCTGACGTAGCAAACCTGCCAACAGTTTGCTGTTTGGAGGTGGCAGCGCTGGTTAATAAGGGGATATATATTTTTATGCTGCCTTCTCCTCTTAAAGTTTGGAGCGTTCCCTGGGGTTGTTCTCGGTTTCAGTGAGATCAGATCTGCTTTTCAGCTCGAGTGTAAAGCAGCTGAGTCAACCCCTCCCCTCCTGCCCTTCACACTCGCAGTTGTAGCAAGACAGAAATTGTGTAGGACTATGTAAATTATTGCTGCCTGTAAATATTCCCCAGGGCTTCTCTTGACCTCTGAGCTCCAGCAAGAACCATTCTGTTGCCTTCAGTCCACAGAGGCACCACATGCTGGGAGGTCTGAGTGGTGTAAAGAGCTGGAGACTCGTTGTGTGGGGATGAGATGGGTCTGGATGCTGCTGCTGGAGAGGCAGGGATGGGCTGTGATTAAAAATTAAACCTGTACAATAAATGCAGCAGAAACACAACCTTCACTTTGCTGTGCCTCTGATACTTCAGAGTGATTTTTTTTTTTCCCTTCCTTTCTTTTGTGGTTTTCTTGTTTGATGCTTTTTATATGGAGACAGTTAAGAGGGAGCTGTCTTGGCTAATTGAAAGTGTTGTTATTGCTCGGTGTTTTGATGTTGTGTCTGCTTTCCTTTGGGGACCAGAACGCTCCTGGGAGTGGGGTTTTCCCTGCCCAACCATGGCTCTCACAGCTTTCAGAGGTGATGCAACATTCAGGGAATGGTTTCGTGCTCCAGATTGGGAACTCTTGGGCAGGTCCTGCAGGGCTGTGCTACCTGCACATGAGTTTTAAACCCTTTCAGCTTCTATCTGCGTTAGTGCTATAACTAAAGCAGCAAAGGGAAGGAACTGCAGCTTCCCCATTTCAATATTCCAGTGTCCTCCAAAGGGCCTGGAGCAGCTGGTTTTACAGCCTCACTTCTGGGCTTAACAGGAATCTTAAGATTTTTACAGAGTGTACGTGTGAAGTTTTGTCCTTCTGCGCATCGTTTGCCCTTCACGGTTGAGATGGTTTATATTGCAGCTTCTGACATCAAAACACACTTTATAGGTGCAGTTGGCACTAATTAAAAGGATAATGAAAGGTGATTTTCGTCTCGGCTTTCTCTTTGCACTGACAGGGCCCCAGTTGCATTTCTGTTCCTGGTGTTGCAATGGTTTGTTCCAAATACCTGCCTTTCTTCCTTATTAACAAAAAGAGTCTGGAATAGCCTAGCTTGCTTAAAGTCTAAGCAAATTACTCTCCTGATTTAGGGTTGCTTTTAAAAAGACTTAATGCCCAAGTGGTTGTTGCAGCAGAAGTGTTCGCTGGGAGGGAATTACAGGGAAAGAAAGAGAATTTTTTTTTTTTTGTTCTTGTTTGTCCCTGATTTTCTGTTTCTGCAGTAATTACCAGAGTTTGAAGTACCCACAGGTTACATAAAATGGCTGGTTTACACCTCTTACTTTGTGGGGAACTCAGACCTGTTGGCTGCCAAAGCCTAATTCCCTGCTATCCCCAATTCCCAGACACCTCCAGCCCCTGTGAGCCCTTCCAAGAACTGTTTGAACCCCAAAGCAGTTTCGTTCCAGCTTGTGCACCTTTGCTGGTGGAATCGCTGGCACGAGAAGAGAGATGCTCCAGGTGGAAGAATTAAACAATTTGAAGTAGCGTTTCCTAAACTTTTTGGATTAAGGAAGTGCTGTGGCTTCATGGATCGGGAATGACCTGTGGAAAACATCAGGAAAGGCTGATTTTGGGATTTATCTGCAAGACCAAAGAGGGTTCAGGGGGTTTGTTTTGCCAGAAGGTCATTTCTCCTGTTAAGATTTAGCATTGCAGAGAAAGATTGATTGCACTTTGAAGATTAATTGGTGGCAGTGACATCTTTCTGATTGTACATGACCCTGAAGTAATTGTGAAATGTCGTTCTTGGTAGTTACTAATTGGATTAAAGAGTGGTAGTTTGGGGTTTTTTTTTTTAAATACCGAGAACTTATTTCACTGTTCCTCAAACCATGCCAGACAAAGAAGCTGTTCCCAAATTCTGCATTGTTTAGTTCTGTGCCTGATTTTTTTCAGAAGTTTCTTCAGAAGTGATTAAAGGCAATTTTTTAACAATTAAGCTTTCTGTGGATAAAGGCTTGGATCATCAGGAAGGGTTAAACGCGAATCTGCAGCGCAGGAACATCTCCATCACCCCCGGTGAAAAGTGGGGGGGCCCTTTGCTGGTTTGAGATTTGCCTCTGCTGATGAGCATTGTTGATTGCTTTGTGTGGGCTTTAATGCACTGGTGCTGAGCTGCAAACAGCATAAGCAAAGGAGAAATGATTAGAGGTCATTTGTCTTCTGATCCTGACCTTGCCACGAGATTTTCTATCACCAAGGACAATTTGCTTCCTTTGTCAAATCCTCTTAGTATTTCTGATCCCCGAAGGAGTTAGAAAGCCATTTGTCAATCACTTCAGAAGGCAGGCAGATTTTTTTGGGGCTGATTTATACTGGGGTGTGAAGGATAACAAGGAGTAGTTGTAATAAAGAGAGGGCAAGGCAGAAAGCATAGTTTTTAGGAGCATACTTGGATGTGTATTTTAGTATTTATTCTGGGATGGAAAGGATGGAGCTTCTCATTGTGGTGGGGGCATCTCTAAATGGGCCCATAAAACTGCAGATACTAAAGATCCACTGAAACATTTGTTGGTTATTTTGTTAGGTGGGGGGAAAAAAATAGGGTAGATTTCCAATCTGGTTAAATATGTACTCCATTAAGCACGTTGCTTATCCCAGAATATTTAGGGTTTTCCCAGAGAAACATCTCTTTAAAAAGCCCATTAAGGCAGGAGGAAGCTGCTGCGTGGAAAGTCCTGGGAAGTTCCCCCTGTGAGCAGCTTACAGAGTTAATTGCAGTGAGTTGTCCCCACGGTGTTTGTGTTTGGGGCAGCGTCACTGCAGCTTCCACTCGTCCTCCCAGCACCCCTTGTTCTCTGAGCACCTCCTGGCCTGTCAATATTTTTCTAATAACATCATGTCTGGGACCTCGGGCGTCACTTCAGGTGTTGTCATGACCAGGCTACCTGGAGATGGTTTCTTGTTTTGTTGGTCTTTTCATACAAAACATTTGAATTAAGTAACTATTTTAGCTTCCCAATATTTTATTATTATTATTATTATTATTATTATTATTATTATTATTATTATTATTATTATTATTATTATTATTATTATTAATTTTTTTTAAGGTTTGGATTCTATTTTACTTTCTTTACCTTCTCAGTCTTCAAAATGAATGTTTTGATAAAATGCTCTCTTTGAAATCTGGTCTCTCCCAGGTGCAACTCGTTGGTTTGGATGAGGAGAGCTCAGAATTCATCTGCAGGAACACCTTTGATCACCCCTACCCCACCACGAAGCTGATGTGGATCCCAGACACCAAGGGGGTCTATCCTGACCTGTTGGCCACTAGTGGGGACTACCTGCGGGTGTGGAGGGTGAGTAAATCCTCCCCAGGAGAAGATGAACCGTGGCATCAGTTGTGTTGCACGTTGATCTCGTTTTCATCCAGGACTTTAATCAGCTTACTGAAGTTGGTTGTGTTTTCCAGAGCTTTAGGATGTAAAGCTGAGAGTTTAAAAACCCAGGATTAACTGCCCTGTGTTTTGTGCCAGTGGAACAAGTCAGGTGATGTTGCTGGTGGAGTCAGATGTGTTTCGTTTTTCTCTCAAAGGTGGGTGAAACCGAGACCCGGCTGGAATGTTTGCTGAACAACAACAAGAACTCGGATTTCTGTGCTCCCCTGACTTCATTTGACTGGAATGAAGTGGATCCCTACCTGCTGGGTGAGGCTGACAGAACGCTGCACTTTCAGCACCCCCACTGAATTTAGGCTGGTGGAGTCTGGGCCGTGCCTGACGTTGTGACTGGTTAATCTGGTAAATAACCAGTGGGCCAGCTGCTGCATCACAGACACTGCCATTGTCTCAGCTTAAAAACGTCTAAAAAATTACACTTATCACCTCATGGAGACTTTTTTTTTTGGGGGGGGTTGGAAGGTGCCCTCTCCACTACAGATGGGTCACTCAGGTTGGGCATGGGATGTTCCCTGTTTGGGGACAGGGAGTCTTACCCCTCAGGGTCATTGCAGTGCTGACTGAGGATGTGCATCAACTGCCGTGACTTATTTCAGCACGTTCTGGGGTGGAGACACCAAGCTCTGTGGTTTGTGCAGCCATTTCAGCAGCAGCAGGAGAGCCAGGAGCCCTTAATTCAGTTGGAGGAGGGGGCTGAACGTTTGAGGTTTAATTATAGCCTGCGGGCCAAATTGTGAATCCAAGATGAGCGATCCAGAGGTTTTGTTTCCCAGAAGAGAACAGCCATTTATGTCAGGGGGGATTTGCCCAGAGATTAACAGTGATAATATGTCTTAGTAATTATTTACTACATGATTTATTTTTTGTGTGTGTGTGTGTGTTAACATCTCTCATCTCTTAAGAGCTTTAACTGCAAACCCCACCTTCAGTCCAGGGCAACAGTCAATTAATAATAACACGCTATCACGACACTGATTGAATTTTGGGTTTGGCATGCACAGGAGATGGGCAGGATGGGAAAGTTCATCTCAGACTTGCATATCAGGCTTCTGAATAGATTGAAGCAGACATGAGCTATTTACCCTTTATTCCTGTGTGGAAGGCTATTTCTGCAGCTGAAAGGTTTGGGTCATTGAAATGCATGGAGGGCTGTTGGCTGTTTGACATTCTTGGGTTTAATTCTATTCTCGTGGCTATTTTGATCTGTAGATGTTGGGGGATATTACATTAATCCAGGAAGTGATTAAATCATTTGGGATAATATTCATTTTGCTAACAGAATGTGGTTTGTTTTGGTTTTTTTTTTTTGTTCCAGGTACCTCAAGTATTGACACAACCTGCACTATTTGGGGTCTGGAGACAGGACAGGTTCTGGGGAGAGTAAATTTGGTCTCTGGCCACGTGAAGACCCAGCTTATTGCACACGACAAAGAGGTGATGGGGGGGTTTGGATTGTTGGCATTGACTCTTCTTAAAGCAGTAGAAAAGGAACAGAACTTTTCCCTTTTTATCCTTTTCCTTGAAAAATGTAATGATCCAAAAAGATCACTTATTTAATGTTAAGATGTAGTTCTGAGTACTTAAATGCTGTTGGCAGTTGAAACTACTCTTTTTACTCCTCATAGACTCTTGTTTTACCAGGTTGGGCTCTAGAATATTTTAGTCAAATGAGATAAAAACACCGAACCGGACCCGAAACCACCTGCAATAAACAACTTGCAAAATTCTCCCGTTTTAACCTATTAACACTCACATACAGTAACATAACAGACATGCCATAATTCCTGCTGGGGTCTGGAGCTGGGTGCTGTGTGTGTGTGTGTGCAGGTGTATGACATCGCCTTCAGCCGCGCCGGGGGCGGCAGGGACATGTTTGCCTCGGTGGGAGCGGATGGCTCGGTGAGGATGTTCGACCTGCGCCACCTGGAGCACAGCACCATCATCTACGAGGACCCCCAGCACCACCCCCTGCTGCGCCTCTGCTGGAATAAGCAGGATCCCAACTACCTGGCCACCATGGCCATGGATGGGATGGAGGTGAGGCACCAGCTCCGCTGCCGGAGTTGGGAATTTCGTGGCTATTTCATCGTCACTTAAAACAAGGTGGTGGTGGCAGTGCCCGGGCTGGGGTTAAGGAGCAGTTCTTGGTGCACTGAGGAGTTGTAGAAGTGACTTGGGCTCATTTGTATTTCAGCTGCTTTGTAAGAGGGGAGCAGCTGGGCAGTAATTTTCACATCAAATCTATGCACCTTGTTCTTTCCCTCTTCAGTGTTTTGTTTGTCACCCAGGCTGCTGAAGGGAAGAACGAGTTGTTTGCCACAGTTTGTGGCATAACTCACAAACCCCCTGGGAGATCTGAGATCTTTTGGAGGACACACCACACACTGACCCTCCAGAGGCTGTTCTTTGGGAGCAATATTTCCTTGCCAGCTGCATCTTTCAGGGAAGAGCCATATTTATAGCCTGAGCTCAAAATACTTAGTTTTTTGAAAAAATTACTAAAAATTTTTTTTTCAATATTAAAGATTGCTTTAAGGCTATTAAAATTATTTGTAAATATTAAAAATATTTAAAATTATTTTTAAATTATTTAACTGTGCAGTTTATTCATTCAGTTGTGTTTTGTTTCTGAAGGTTGTGATTCTAGATGTGAGAGTTCCCTGCACTCCTGTAGCCAGGTTAAACAACCACAGAGCGTGTGTAAATGGAATTGCTTGGGCACCTCATTCCTCCTGCCACATCTGCACAGCAGGTGAGTGTCCTCTTACTGGGCCAGTCCAGTCTTTCACTGCATTTGCAAAACCCTCTCCCTCCAAAAGGTTATGCAGTTCTCTGCCTGCCTTTGGCTAAAGAATACTTGCACTTTAAAGCTATTTGTTAGTGACTTCCTTAAATTTTTATGGAAATAGACACCAACTGGAGTTTATTGTGTGGAAGTCATGAGCCCGGTGCCCAAACTGTGCATCTGCTCTGGCTAAGCTCCTTATTTAATGCTCCTTAGGTTTTCTGCAGTCCAGTTCTTAAATGTTTTCAGCTGAGTCCCACTGCTCTTTTTTTTTTTTTATCTGCTCTGTCCTGGGTAATGTGTAAGGATCCAAGTTTATTTGTTGGAGCTTGGAATATGGACCAGGGCTGCCTTATCCTGCCTGGCCCCTTGGGCCATGAGCCTGTTGGTAGCCACAGGTGGGGATGTTGTTGCACTGTGACTCCACCTCCAACCCTCTCCTCCCTGCACAGCTGACGATCACCAGGCCCTCATCTGGGACATCCAGCAGATGCCTCGTGCCATCGAGGACCCCATCCTGGCCTACACAGCAGAGGGAGAGATCAACAATGTACAGTGGGCATCCACCCAGCCAGACTGGATAGCCATCTGCTACAACAACTGCCTGGAGATCCTGAGGGTCTAACTCTGCTGCTGTGCCCCCCTGAGGCAGGGCTGTATCATTCCCCTCCCCTCTCAAGTAAGAACACCACCAGTCAAGTGGCCAGTATCTGTTGTTGCTTTGCATCTGCTGTTACAAGGAACTGTTACAAGGATCCATGGCAGGTGTCTCCTGCCTCTCCAGACTCTAAAAATGCAGAGACGTGCTGAGCCTCTTGGACCTTCTGGGTTCTGGTTTTCTTGTTGAATTCTTCCCCCCCCACCACCCCTCAGTAAAAGTTCTGTATATTTGTTTGTTGACTGTATTAATAAGCTTGCAGGCTTTTAAGTTGCTGCATATGTCCATGTGTTTGTCAGCCAGCTGGGGCAGCACACACATCAACCAGTTTAAAATAGATTTGCAGGTGCAAAACAAGGTGGGGGGGGAAAAAAAAGAAAAAAAAAAAAAAGACATTGATGTAAAACAGCCACCTTGGCAGGAATCTTTCTCATTCCTGTTGTCGCTGCCTCTACACTGTTTAAACGTTTGTATGTTTTTTATATACTGGGCTAACTTTCTATTGAGTAAGGTGTTTTTTTTCTCCCTAATTCTTACTTTTTGATATGTGACCCACTTGCACATGCCCACAGCAGGACCTGTTCATGGACACAAACCCCACTTCAGGCTCCCTGGCAGTAAAGGCCTGCCAGAACTAACTGTTGCCTTGGCTCCCCTGTACCTGGTGAAGCTGGGCAGACTTTCCTGGTGCTGTGAAGTACAAGTAACCTGTTGCACAATTTTCTTTACACTTTTCCTGACGCTCGAGGCAGTTGTTACTATGGTAAGGCCTTGTTTTTTAAATGTAGAGCTGAGTTTGTGTGTCCCCCTGCAGTTGTGTGGTAGCAAACAGAACGGTGGGAGGTGGCAGAAAGAAGATCCGTGCATGACATAAAGCTCCCAGGAGGTAACAAATCCTGGGACAAAAAATATATATATATATATATTTGTGATGGACTTGGGGTTGGCACTTCCAGTCAAATGATTTCCCCTCGGAAGACTTATTATCACCTAAACCAAAATAAAATGGTCTCACACTTTGTAGCTTGCTTGCTTGGCAAACAACCTGAGCAGGGTTTTGTGGTTAGCCTGGACCTTGGAGCTTGCTTTGTGTTCTGGGAGGTCTTGAAGGGAGTGCAGGGCAATGTTTTTGTCGAGTGGTTTTTTTTTTTTGCTTTGTACTGTCAGGTCTTGTTGAATGACTGAGATGGGTCAGAAAAGCCGGTCTGCTCTGTCTGAAAGGAATTATTCCCTAATGGAATGCACAAAGGTGGATTTAGAAGGAAAGAAACTGAGCCATTGTGAGACCAAGGTTTGGCGCTTGTCACCCTCTCCTGACTTTTTGGGGATGTGCCCGAGGGCTGCTCTTTGGAATAGTGGATTGCTCTACATTAATACTTCTCAATCAGAGCTGAGTGGATTAGGCCAGATAAAAATCTTTGTTGAAGTCTTAATGTAGCACAGATAACTGGGATAAAAGCTCTGCAGCGCTCTCCAAATGAAGACATGACAGCCAGAGCTGGTCTGGAAGGGTGTGCAGCCCAGTTTCCATGTAAATGTCAGAAACTATCAGCATTGTCTTTCCACCTAATGAGTGTTCACCTGCAGCTGGAGGCAATTTATAAATAGCAGGACACTGGCAAAGCTGGATCCTGTCAGTTGATGCAGGAGAGGCGAGTTGGGAGGCTGGCGCTGGGAACACTGTCAAACACAGAACAGAACCTGTGAGGGTTTGTCATCCTGGACATCCAGAAATACTCTCCTGCAGGCAGCAGGAAAGCATTGCCTCAGGAATTTGATAGGAATTCATTAGGGACAGCTTTAGCCCATCACTCCTTCTGATCTCAGAGAACCAAGAGGCTCTTCCCCGGCTCCAGCTGATGCTTTGTCAGCGACGCTCTGCGTTCAGTCAGGGGATTTCTGACAGAGCTGCTTTGGACTCGGAAGGTCGGTTTTTCTTGCCAGCAAGCAGTGCTGGGAGTGGTGTGTTCCGCTGACAGGTTTCAGCACGATGTCAGAGCAGTGTTACCCAAACACTGAATTACCACTGTCTGCAGCAGCACTTCCTCAGAATCTGGAAAATGCTTCTGCAGAGTGAAGTGAAAATTGGGATGTTCTTAGCAGGAGCATCTAATGGCATTCACAGCTTTAGGCCCCATCTGAAATACAGGCTTGTCGTGCATTGTTTAATTACAAGTGGTAGGGATAACTTGCTGTGTTACCAAGAGGGAAGCACCTGCAGCATTAGGGCTTTCTGTGCCCCCTTTCTGCACAAGAAGTGTCAGAGATGAATGTTTCTCTTGCTTAGCTGAAAAATGCATCTTTTTTAATTGCATTGTGCTTCAGAAAAAGGTATCAGGTAATTTAGTTGAAAGTGAAGTCATGAAAAGACTCCATAGGTTACACTGAAGGACAAAGGCAGTTTATTCCCAGAGGAATAAAATGTGTCACACTAAGAGGATGAGAGGAGAGCTTGTATGAAGGGACTCAGTCTGAACAGCCAGGTAGATTCTCCTTCTGTTGGAAAACAATCCTGTTATGGACCTGAAGAGGATCCACTGTCAGCCCTCCATCCACAAAACCGCTTCAAGTCTATTTGTGGAATTGGGTGCTTATTCCAAGCTTGTCAAAGGCAAGTGAAGGAATCTGGTGGGCTCCAGTGGGTTCTAAATAAAGTCTGTATCTTATTTATTTAGCCAGTTGGGATACCTTCTGGATCCTCCAGCATATTGCTTTGGGCATCATCCATTGTCATTCTTCCCGTGAAATTACGTTTGAAATCACTGGAGACTGTTTGGGCACAGGGAAATGATACTTAAAATAGCTTCAGAGAAGTCACTTGAAAGGTTAATGACTGAAAAGACATGAAAATCCCCGTGGGGGAGATGTTCTGTAGTGCAAATGGCACTTCCAGCTAGACAAGGAAGGGAGAGACTTTGGTGCCCTTTTGTCAGCACCTGCTGACAGGGGCAGGGTAGGGAATGCTCTGGTTCAGGTTCATCTGCCAGATAAAATAACCCCTGAGACTTACCAATGGAAGAATATACAATTTATCACATTACACCTGCTCAACATTCGATTAGATTGGGTGTATAAACCCCCCATAGTCATCATTTTCCCCCTGAAGTTATAAAAATAAGTAATTCTATATTTAATGTCAATTATTTGGTGCATAAGCAGAGAATGCAGAAAAACTGCTTGCAAAATGCCTCCTATCTTTTTGAGTCTAAAGTAACATTAAGGAAAGAGTGAGCCCAGCAGAAAAAGCACCTGCTGATGTTGGTCCAGGCCTGCCTGATCTGGGACAGAAACTCTTCTCGGTGACTCGAGTAGTTCTATGTCACTCCTCCCATGGATTAATCCAAGGCACTGAACTATTGTTTGTCAATGTTCTTTCTTAAACCAAGCTTTCCACAGGTTCCTGCTCTGATCTTTTGGCTCTCAGCCAAGGCAGGGAGGGGATCTTGATGATGTCAAACTCGTTAGTGAGGTGAAAACCCGCAGCCAACAGGGGTGGATGCTGAACCGTGTGTAGTGTGGTGGCAGCTCTGTCAATTGTCTAGATCAGGTGGGCTTTGGGAGCCTCCATCTCTGGGAATTGTACTTGTGTGTGCAGGGATTTGAAAGGCAAGGATTTGAGTGCTTTGACAATCTGTTGGGAAGGAAGACCCGGTGGCTTCAGATGCGAAAGGAGACTGATAGTGCAGGTTGTTCCTGATGGAACCTTGAGATGTGCTGAACGGGGGAGGAGGCATCGCCTCTCATAAGTCAAACTTAATGATCCTTTCAAAACTTCGCTGTAATTACTCTCCTGAATGTTCTGGATAATAGTAAAAAAGCTCTATTTTTGCCTGGTGGTGCAGTGGGGAAGCTGCATCAGCCTCGAGCGTCGATGAGTGCAGAGCCCCGGGGAGGGGAGGGGTCCCATGCACGAAACTCACAGATGTGCTCAGGCCTTGTTTGAGATGGAAATGGAGAGCTGAGCGTGTCAGTTTCGTCCTCTTGCTGATGGCACTTTAACAAGTATATTTTTTGGGGAGATTTTAGGAGGAGAGTCATCTTTTTCCTCAGCCCTTTTATGGTAGGAGTTTGTCTGTGTTGTGTAGAAAACATTCGATACAACAGCCACCGAATCTGTGGTCAGAGTGGACCCTCCTTTGTTTCTACTGAAAACCAAAAACATGAGCACTTGACAAGCCTGTAAATGTTAAACTGAAGCTTCGTGCTCTAAGCCTGACACCGTCCTGTGAGACCAACCCAAGGGATGCAGTGCTGGTGTCACCCCCAGAGCCCCTTTTCCTTGGGAATCCCCTCTTCCACCACCTGAACACAGGTTGGCTCTGGAAGGATGTAGCTGGATCCTTTGGATAACTTACTTTTGTGAGAAGCAAAAAACCTAAAAATTGAGAAAACTGAAATCCTTGAAGCTGTCCATTTGTTGGGGGGTGTTTTAACTTTCTCCAGAGACACTGAAAAGGATGAGCAGCAGCACAGCCAAGCTCTTGGCCCAGCAGATTCCACAGTGATTCCACAGATTCCACACCCGTCCAAGTCCTGGAGGGTTCAGTTTTCCCACTGCTCGTTAGCAAAGTGGTCCCAGCACCCCAAATTCCTCCTTGTGTCCCCCTGCCAGTCAGCACAGGTACCTGAGAGGAGTCGGAAACGTCTCATTCTCAAGGGTATTGAGGGGAGTTTGGGATGCCCCTGACTCGTTTTTGGTTTTTTTAAGGAAGAGACATCCAGAACTTCTGATTAGCACCTTTCACCAGCACTGGGAAAAAAAGCAGTAATTAAAATTACAACTAAATACCAGTCACTGGAGGCTCACCTGGTGATTCATGGGCAGACACCAGAGGCAAAAAGTGAAAACTGTGTCTGCCGTGGTGGCCTTTTGTGCAGCCTCTGATACTCAGCATCAAGCGAGAATTTCCACAGTCATAAAACTAATTTAAAGTAAAAAAAAAAAAAAAAAATTCATCTGCGTGGCTTCCGTGGCAAAACATGGGAGTCCAACCCCCCCTCTTAGAGCTGAGGATGGATCTGAACGAGGCAGTAAGTCAAGAACCAGGGAAGGACAGAGCCCTGGTGCAGCTGAGCAGAGATGTGTTGCTTTTCCTGACAAACCTGCGAACCAGGAACTGAGAAATCTACTATTTACAAGGAACCTTTGTTGTTGTTTTGTTTGTTTTGTTGTTTGTTGGTTTTTTTTTTTAATTTCCCACTTGGGTTGCTAGCGGTGTAAAACGTAATTTAAGCATTTTTTTTTTTGTTACCAGTAGCTGAGTAGGAGGTGTTTTCCTTTTTCTGTGTGTTTTCCCTTCTTGCTCTCTCCCCCCCATTCACAGCCCCGTGGTGGTAACTCCCCTGAAGGTGTAATCTTTGTAGCATGATTGTACAAAACACCCACCTGAGATTCCTGACTTCTCGTTCTCACTCGAGTATGTTCAAGCAATAGTAGTTTTTACTCCTCTCCTCCTTTCCTCCACCTGCAACTTCGCTCCTATCCCGTCCTAGAGGAATCCTGTTATCCTGCTACTCAAAACTGCAGTGTCCCCCCCCCTTCTCTCTATCTCTTTATTTTTATGGAGAGAACACAAAAAGGTTTTGTTACAGTGGATTTGAACACCCCCCAGTCACGGAACTGCATTGTTTGAAACTCTGTAAATTTTAAGGCAATTTTCTGGACTCGCTTGAAAGTGGAATGTTGCATCCTTTTATGCTGTTTTCTCCCGCTTCCTCTGTAGTTTTATTCGGATTTTTTAACCCCCTTTCTAAGTTCCAGCCTCCTGTGTATTAGGTACGGTATTTTCTTGCCTTTCATACTTTGTAATAAAAACGGAACATTTGTAGACCGACTGCAGTTGGCTGTGTGGTGAATTGAACCTGGGGGGAGCTGGAAAGGGCCCTGAAAAGGAGCTGCCTTTGCTCTGGGGTGGAGAGTTTGCTGCTCCAAAAAAAGGAGCTTTGTGTGTTGATCTCCCATCAGCACCCCAACAAACTCTGTAATTCCAGCTATTCTTGAGTTGCAGATTACCCCAGATAATTATATTATTAAGAACTCAGCAGAGTGGGTAACGCAGCTGCACTTTAAACATTTACCTTCTTAAAAATCTGCTCCATCCCAGCGTTGTTCGTGCTGATGTTCTCCCGCTCCTTCGCACAACGAGTGGGAATTACCTGCTGCGTGTTTTCATTTTTAAGGTGAGGGGTGGGTTTTTAAATTCAAATAATTGGTCTCTGAGGGGGGTTTGAATACAGGCAAATTGAAGACAAAGCAAGTAGGCACTTCTGTAGCTTTTAAGTCTCTCCTGTGCAGGGGGACCTCTGTTAAAGGGTGTTTTTCCTCACTGGTGTCGTGGCTGGAACGGGGACTGAGATGGAAATGGGGTGGCAGAGCTTGGAGATTTCTACCTTAGGCCTTGGCAAGCAGGACTGATGACTTCACCGAGTATTTAGATTAACTCTAGCTCAACTAAATTGTTGGGTTTCATTCTAATTCTTTGTGTACTGGCTGGGAAATAAAAGCTTATTAAGCTTCATGTCCACAGCGGAAAGAGTTGCCTGGGAAGATGCTGCAGTGGGTTTTCAGCTATATATGGACTTTGTTCTGGTAATCCCTGTTTGGAAAAGATGCTTTTCTTCTAAGAACTGTTTGTCCTTTACCCTAGAATTGTATTTGCATCCTCCCAGATTATTTTTCCCCTTGGATCTGTGGAATTCTCCAGAGAAACCTTCTCTCAGCTTCCACTCTGGTGGGAGGAGACAACCTGTGGAAATTGGAGCTGCTGGGGCGAAGAAGTCACGGACTGGTAGGTGATGGGGAGGCAAAACAGGTGCCAAAAAGTCCTGCAGAGGTGTGTGGGTAGAAAAAGAGACAAGCAGAGGTTCTCTCTTCTGTAAGGATTGAGGGGCAGCCAACATCTGGCACAGCTGGGTTGCTCTGGGACCTTGGGAAAGTCACTGCTCTGATACCAAATGTTAAGGGAAAAGCACATCATTAATCACTGAGCAGTAAATGGCTTAAAAATGCTTAAAAATGAAAGCAAACCTCCATGGTAACACAGCAAGAGGTGGTAGAGGAAAAAGTGGTGCCTGAAATGATTTGGGGGCCCGTGACTGTAACGAGCATTTCATTGTGTGCTTTTTTCTCAGTGCTGCTCTAGAAACTGCCCGTGTTTTTAACATCCTTCCTCCTCTTCCTTCTTCATTTTCCCTCTCCTGGAGCAGAAAGGCTCCTGGTTTTTATCCAGCTTCAGAGCCCCCTCTGCTGGAATCTGTCCACAGCCAGGCACGTTCCTGGGAATGGGACAGGGATTGGAGCAACCTGGGCTGGTGGGGTTGCACTGGATGAGCCTTTTAAGATCCCTCCCAACCCAAACCATCCTGGGCTTCTCTGCTTCTATTTACAGGGTTTCTCCTCCTCCCCCACTTTCTCTGGCTGGGGAGTCCAAGACGTAGAACAAGGAAGTTTTGGCTTGGGACAGGGAGCCTGCTCAGCTCCCCAGGGAGGATGTGTCTACCTAAACAAGAAAGGAAACAGGAAGGAAAGGAGAAATAGCACGTCTGATAGCAAGGAAAAGAGGCTCTTTGAGTCAGGTCCACTTCAGCAAATGGAAACACCACCAAAATAGAAAAGAAGACGATGGCAGAGTGATTAAGACACGGGGGGGAAGATGCCAGGAGGTAAATCCCAAAGGTCCACTCCAGACTTCCTGTGTAACTTTTAACGAGACGCTGTCTCTGTGTGCAGTGCCCTTAAATCCCCAAAATAGGGATTACACTTCCTTTTCTCCCTCCAGCATCAAACCATCAGGCCCCTGTAAAGTTCTTTTAAACCAAAATGGGCTGCCTGGAAATGTAGGAGCTCCTGGACAGTCTCCATGCATGTCTGTGCTGATGATTCTCCGTTAAATGGCCCCAAACGATCTGAATAAATAGGAGAGTTAAGTATGTTTGGAGGAGTGAAACTTGGTTTTTTTTTGCTGGAAAGCTGCAGTTTTGGAAGGTCAAGGCCAGGTTGGAGCAACCTGGGCTAGTGGGAGGTGTCCCTGCCCGTGGCAGGGGGTGGCACTGGGTGATCTTTAAGCTCCCAAACCGTTCTGGGATTCTCTAATTATGCACAAAACTAGTACAGCATTAAGGTGAAAAAAAAAAAGGAATTACACTTTTCTTCTCAAGTTATACAAAATAGGGGTGTCTATTTTGGTAGAAACTTGGATTCCTGTTCAGGGAGGATCTACCAGCTTGTAAGAGGAGGGGGGAAAAAAAAAGGGTGTGAGGTTCTGTAGTGGCCCAAAAAAAGTCCTGATGGCACTTCATGTAGATAGTGACGTGAGAATGTCTGGAAAACGGGGAAACCAGCAGATAAAATTGTTGCTTTACACATTAGCCTTGACAGGTGGGTGAAGTGATGAGCTGTTAAGGACAAATCACTCTATTTTCAATCTGATGAAGCGGGGAGAGAGGGATTTCAGCGAAATCCAGACTCCCTGGGCAGTTGGAGATGGGAAGAGCGAGTTCCTGCAGGGTGGGTGTCTCCTACCATCTGCTGGGAGCTCCTGGCTCCTGTCCCAAGCTGCTGCTCTAATATCTCCTGGACTTAAACTGAGTTTCTCCACGAGGGACATGGAATCAGTCCCACTTAACAGGAACTTCAGCTGAGAGTTTTATGTGCAAACACGTAAGGGACTGCAAAAGAAATATCAAAAAAAAAAAAAGAAATATCAGCTGGGAAGGTGATGATGGAGTGGTTTGGAATCAGTGGAGAATTGATAGAGGCTCTTCCCTCTCTTAGGAAAAGCCTTTTTTGTAATGACTTTGGCACAAAGAGGGGGAATTAAAATCGAATCTGGTGATGAATAAAAGTGCCAGGCTTTGATAACGAGGAGGAACTGGAATATCCTGGAGATTTGATGGCTTTGAAAGAGTGAGAAATAGAGATGAGAGGAGATTAAATGTAGCAGCAGAGAGTGCCAGGCTGGGAAATTTAGGGACAAGGAGGAATTTGTGAGGGACACTTGGGAGTGTTTTTACTTGGAAAGCAGTGAGGAGAGGAAACTGGGGGTTAGTTTAGTGGTTGATTAAGGACAGTGAGGAGCCACCATGAACCTGTGAGTGAATGTGGCAGGTCAGAAGTTCTACTCCTGAGAGCAAAAACACTTTCTTATTAAGATAAACCCCTGAGTGAAAGGGGAGGAAATGCTGGACTCCAAACACACCAGGCTGGAGATCACTGCTGCAGGTTGGAGAGCCAGAGGTTGATTTTAACAGACAGAGTGTGTGATTGAAGGGCTTAGAAACAGGACTGGGGAGAAAATGAAACGGGGGTATTGAAGGCTTACAATTAAACTCATTGCCAAGCTGCGCTTGAGAGGAGAGAAACCAGCAAGGTCAGAGAGCTCGGGACCTGTCCCTCCTCCGGGACACCTGGAGGTTCAGAGTCTCTCTCCCAGAACTTCCACTGACACAGTTTCCCAAAGTCAAAAATAGCTTATTATTACCCCCAAAGCTCAAAACCAGACAGAAATGATAGATTCGGAATCACCAGCGCTAAATCACTCAGTGCCACAGCGGTAAGTATACTGAGGCTGGGAAAGGATTAATTAAGCTCCGTTAACGATTCCCTAATTAAGGTGAGTTTAACACCGGGCTTTAGGACCCGGTCGAGGGGGCGTGGCCTAACGCATGTCAATCACTTTGATTGACAGCACAGTGGGGGTGACCGGCAGGAGAGGGGGCGTGTCCTTGCCCTCAAGGCACCGGTTGATTGACAGGCGAGGGGGCGGGCCTTGTGGGGCGGGGCATGCACCTCCCCGCGCTCCCATTGGCCCGCGGCGCGGCCGGGCGGGCGCTGATTGGCGGGCGGGGGGCGCGTGGCGCTGTGATTGGCAGGCGGCGGCGGCGGGTGCGCGGCGGGCGCCGAGCGGGTTTGTTTGTGCGGGGCCGGGGGGCGGGGGGGGGACACCCCGACCGTGAGGGGAGCCCCGTGAGGGGACCCCGCGACGGGCCGGGAGGCACCGCGGGCCCCCCGCGCCCCGCCCGCAGCGCGCCCGCCCCGGGAAGAGGAGGAGGAGGCGGCGGCGGCGCGGCGGGGCCTGGGAATGTGGCGGCCGCGGCGGCTCTGAGCCCTCCCTCCCTCCCTCCTTCCCCGCCGCCATCGGCCCGGCCGCCATGGAGCCGCGGCGGTGACAGCGCCGACCCGCAGCGCCCGCCGCCTGCGGCGCCGCCGCCCGCAGACATGGGTGAGCGACCGGCAGGGAGGCCGCGGGGGAGCGGGGCCGCCTCACGGAGCGGGGGAGGAGGGGAGGGAAGGGAGGGGAGAGAAGGGGAGGGGAGGGGGCGATGCACCCTCGGCCATGGGTGGGGGGTTCGGGGGGGTCCCCGCGGCTCCGCTGCGGCCCGGCCCGGCCCGGGACCTGCCGCGGTGGAGGGGCCGGACGGGACCTACCGCGGCACCCGCAGCGCCGCCGGGAAATGGTGGTTTGTGGCTTTTTTTTCAAGGATTTGGTTAAAATGGTTAAAAAAAAAAAAATCGTGTGTTTGCGGGGAACACCGTGCCCCCCTCCGCCCCATCCACCCCGAGGTCGTGGCTGCTGCCCCGGGGCTTTGCTAAACTCGGCCCGCCCGGGCTCAGAGAGCTCCTGCAGCCCCCCTGAGTCAGGTCGGCTCTCCCTGGGACGGGAGTTGATGGGTTTCGGATTAATCGGGGCAGTTCTTGGTGTTAATTGCGGCTCGGGAGTCCATCAGAGCAGTGTTTTCTTTATGGAGCTTCCACACGTAAAAACAAGCAGAGGAGTTTGGAGAAAGTCTGGTGGGTTTTTGTTTGTTTGTTTGTTTGTTTGTTTTGGGTTTTTTTTCCAAGGGGAAAATGTTGCTGCGAGGAGTTGCTATGACTGAAATTGGTTGATTAATTCAAATTGTTTTGGACTTGGACTGTACGTCCTGTACAAAAAACTGCTTATGGAGGAGGGGATGTTTTCTAATTCCCTTTCCAGTCTAAAGAGAGGTCTCATGTGCTGGAATTAAATTCTTAATTGCTCTGAACCAGAACTTACTCATATCTGCATATGGAAGGGCAAGGGAGTTACTCCTGTTGTAAGTCTGGAGTTTGGTGGGTTACAACCTCAGTGTTTCTTCCCTACAACCAAGCTGAGTTTTCTGAGACTGTCCTTCGTTTAGTCCGTATGCATAACTAGTTCTTACACTTTGAGTTCATAAAGCATTGTAAATGTTGCTCGGAGCTAAGCTACAACAACTTCAGCCCCTCTGTACTCTGGTTTGATTTGGTAAATACAACAAATCTGTGCAGGTCCATCACTAGAATTCTCTGAGGTGCAGGATTATCTCTCTGTACCTCCCCTACAGAACCAAGGCAGGTGGTTCACGAGCTTAAAACTGTTGGGAAGGAAGGGGTTGGATTTCCATTTGCCAGTGTGTGTTTGTAAACACGCGAGTGCAGAATGAACAGGCCCAGCATCGTGTGTGCCATGGCACAGCTGCACACCCCTTCCCATGGGAAAAACCTGAGTTTATTAGGCAGCTGTGATCAGGGTGGGTGCTCTGAGCAGGCCCCACACTCCATCCCCATCCCGGCATTCCCTCGATCCCGCTCGGTTTTTCCTGCCTGTGTCACTTCCTTCCCTTGGCTCCCACAGCTCAGTGACACCCGGGGGGGGAGGGACAGAGCTGAGCCTGCAGGTCAGGACCAGCTCAAATCCCAAATCCCAGTCTTTTCCTTTGAACTTCTGGGGGAGAAGAGGGACCCTAAATACATCCCACATTTACCGTGTCTGTATTAATCTGTGATTTTTCATCTCGCTCTGCAAACCAGTCACTTGTGATTTCCTAAAAATCAGGCAGAGCAGCATTTTGGTGCCACTAAAACCACCCACAGCACAGGGCTCAAAATGAAACTTTCCAAGATTCTTGTCTAAAATTTCCTCGTTACCCCCTGGATCTGCCGGTGGCTCGACCCAACCAGCTTTGCTGTTGTGGGCGTAGATACCAGAGATTTATTCCCTTTTTTTCTCTTCTAAACTAATGTGGCATCATTATCACACTGAAGAAAACACCATCCTGGGTTAGAGGGGTTCCCAGACTTCCTGTTTTTACCCACTTTTTTTATTATTATTATTATTTTATTTTTTTATTCTTTTCGAAAGACTTTCCCTTTCTGACTCGCTCAGACCCGTGTCAGAAGCCAGTTGAAATAAACGCCTCGTGGGGAGGAACAGCTTTCCCTGGGAGCAGCAGTTCCCTTTTATCCATGTCAGAAAAATCCTGGAGCGGAGTTTTTAAAACATGAAAAGCATTTCCTGGACAACATCTTTCCCTCACAAAGCACAACTTGTGTTTCCCAGACCTGCTGGAGACCGGGCAAAACAGGGGTCTCTCAGTGCGCTCCCAAGGATTGCTTCGTTTTGGTTTGTAGCAACTTCTGCATTGTGTGATTAATGTGATGCTGCTCCGTGTGCTTTTCCAAGGATCTGTAGCAATCCTCTGTTTTGAGGGAAATAAAGGAGTATTCATGCTTCTCAGCATTAAATCCAGCACAGTGCTGTCCTAAACTGGAGATGATTTTTCTCCTGCACGGCCTCAGATCAGTATTTGATTTGATGTTTTTAAAAGATAAATACTCCGTCGTTTCCTATCTCATCAGCGCAGGGATGAATTATAGGATAGATGGTTTGGTACTAAAAGCTGCTAGAAAATGTATAATAAGATTCAAACTCACCTGAAGTTGTTCCATCACCTTTGACAGAACATTAACTGTTCCAGTTTTGTGGAGATAAGTCAGATTTCAGCTTTGGCACAGAGAAAAGTGAGTTTGCAGTGACCTTACAGGGCACTGCCTGGGGTTTATAGAATTCTAGAATATCCTGAGCCAGGAGGGACCCACAAGCATCACCCAGTCCAACCCCTGGCCCTGCACAGGACACCCCCACAATCCCACCCTGTGCCTGAGAGTGTTGTCCAAACACTCCTGAAGCTCTGCTGCTTCCAGGCGCTGCCCTCGGGAGTTCAATAGATTGTAAATTCAGCTCATAAATAAATTCTCCACCTACCAAGCTACAATCTGTATTAAGAGGCACAGAGCTGGTTGGATTCCTGTGCTCTGTGCCCAGTTCCTCACACAAATGAGTCTCACCCAGCCTGGAATTTGGGATCAAACACCTGTAGCCAACCATTGTGAGGGTTTATCCTGATTTTCCAGTGATGATCCTGTTTCGAGGCGAGCTCTTATTCCCAGACATATCCTTTGAGCTGATTCCTTGTCAGGAGCCCTCAGTTCCAAACTGCTTTCAGAGCTGGTTTTCTTCTTGCCCAAAGGAGTGCTGCCAACACAAGCTCTTCTTCCTCCTGCTGGGATCTGGCCAAACCCAAACTGCAGTGGAGTGGAAAACTTGTACCCCGGCTCTTCCCGGTGTGTTTTGGGTGGTGGGAACTCCAGGGATGTGCCAATCCATAGGTTGGATGTTTTGTTGTGCACAGTTACAGCCTTTGTCTGCCAGGTGACTCCAAGGCCGTGCTCAAATCAGAGAACACAAGTGAGTTGGAGACACTCCAGTGGGGTAAGAGGTTAAATGGGAAGTTGGAAACTGGTTTTTTTTTTTAAAAAAAGAAAAAGTTGTGCTTTCCCTACCTGGAACTTTAGCTTCATTCACAACTGTTTTTTCACGTTTTCCTCCCACAAGGGGTTACTCGGTGCTGAGATGGATCCCAGCAATTATTTCCTTTGGCCCATGTGCTCCTCCACAAGCAGCCTCTCAGTTTGGTTGTGTTATGACACTCCTCGCTTCTTTTCTGTGCAGTTGGAATGTCAAAGAGTGCTCTCCCTTCTCCACTGCCACAATGTGCTTATTGTCTCATTTGGCTTGTCTTGGACAGCAGAGATTTGATGGGGTTTGATTCTGATTTTTTAATTTTTTTTTTTTTTTACTTTCTCTGCTCTGCTTTGCTTTTTTTTTAATGACACTGACTTCTCCCTGGGACTTCTTTGGATGATTCTTCCTCACAAATAGGTATATTTTTTTCCCCCCATTTTTCCTTTTAGGAGCATTTGCTCCCTGGCTGCTCCACAGCAGCTGTGTGCTCATCCCACATCTGTCATCTTTAACATCTGCTTTGTTATTCAGACACTGATGAATTATGAAGCCAATCTGGGCATAAAACATCCCCTGGCTGCTTTGGAGGCATTTACCAACAAACACACGCCACGAAACTGCAGAAACAAATAGTCGCAGTGAGTGCCTTGCAAAGGGAAATGCAGATGCGACTCAGTCCATCATTTAATGTTCAGCAGCTGTTCCCAGGACAGCTCTTCCAAATGCAAACCATTACCCATCAAACCAGTGCCACGAGTCAGGAGCGAGCGAGTGGTGGATTGTTAAAAGTGACGTTTCAGTTGTTTACAAATCAGCTTCAAAAAATGGCTCTTTTCGAGTCAGACTCCTCAGAGTGATTGGACTTTGGGAGGAATTGTGAATTCCAAGCACTGCACACCTGACACGCTGTCATGAGTGGGGCTGTGATAACTGGTGGGGGCTCTCATCACCTCCAAAAATAAAAAAAAAACCAAACCAAAACAAACAGCTTTACATTCAAAACTGGTGGCCAAGTCCACCCAGACTCGTTTAGAAAGGGCAGGTTCTGCTGGGGGTGTTGAGAGCTGATCAAGTCCCTGGAAGTGAATCAGGAAGGATTTCCCTGGGTGTGTTTGCCAAGGAAACAACACTTTATCCCTACAAAACTCTTGCTGGGTGAGACACCAGCTGGGCAATCCAGGAACGTGGCAGGAGCAGAGTGAGGCATCTGATGCTGCTTTGTTGGGTTGTGGCAGTGCCTGGGGCAGAGTGGCCAGGACGGTCCCATTTTGGACAAAACTTCACGTGGCAACTTCTTCTACCTTTTCCAGTTTCAAAGAATTTGGGAAAGATTCTTTCCCGTGGCTTTTAGACCTTTTTGCACCATCCATCGCAGTTACTGAGCATTCCCCTCCTTTCATGTCTTTTTTTTTTTCCCCTCTAGATTTCATACAAAGTTCTCCAAAATAAATCCACTTCTCTCCTCAGAACTACCGGGCAGTGGGAGAGGACACATGAAATTGGTTAGATCAGGAATCTTCACTCCAGAAAGTAATTTTTAACCAGGAGTACACCCAAGAAAAAAATTGAATCTGCTCAGGTGGCGCTGTTTGCTGTGAAGCCTTTTAAACACAATTAGAGGGGCATTTTAGTCCTGCAAAGGTTTGTTGTTCTGTGAGCCTGCAGAAAACAGGCCACTTATTCCTGAAATTCTTGTGCCTGGCAGATGAACAGGAGGCCTTGAAATCCATCATGAAGGACCTGGTGGCTCTCCAGATGGGCAGACGTCACAGGCTGCCTGGATATGACACCATGAAGAACAAGGACACTGCTCACCCCAACAAACAGGTGATGGGGCCTTCCAGGGACCACCTGAAATGGGGAAAGGGGGAAAGAGGGGACTGAGGATCTGCCCCCTGGGCTGCTGACAGGATTAAATCCCTCATCCTGCTCAGGCTGGGGGGGGAAATTTTCATTTTCATATATGTATATTAAAATATAATATAGAATATATATTGTTAATGTATGTTAATAATATGTATTAATAGTGTATTTTCATAATATATTATAATTTTATAATGTATACTATTATATTAAAATATCTGTACTATTAAAATATATTAAATCTAAAATATATTTAAATCTATAATATATTATATATATAAATATATAAAATATATATTATATACTATATTAGACATAGTATATATTATCTATTATATAAAAATAATTTTCTAGTATAGTAGAAATCTAATTAATAATATTACTAAATAACTGTATAATGTAATGATACTAATTAACATTACAATCTAAATATATGCTAGAATAAGTACAATTTTATATAATATATAAATTATATTAAAATAGTGTATTTTGTATATTGATTTATCTATATAAAATTAAAGGCTATATATAATGATATATATGCAATAGTATGTATTTTTTTAATATTTATATATATATTTGATAATCTGCAGCATCTGAGTATCCTCCCTTCCCCCTGCATATGTTTGTGATGCTGTTTGGTCAGATCAACTAAAAAAAAATTTATCAAGCATAAAAATTTTCAAATTGCCATTTTTTTTGTTTATTTGTTTATTATTTTATTCCTTTCCAAGAAAAAACACAACGCCAGCAGCCCCCCCCTCCTGGGCAGCCCTGCAATAACCACCCAGTGTGCCTCTGCAGTGGAGGAAAAAAAAATTCCGGTGAGAAAACTTCCTTAATTTCCATATCCTGATGTCACAGGGGGGTGTCTGTCTTAGTGCCGTGCCAGGACAAGGAATGGCTTTAAATTCCCAGAGGGCAGGGATGGATGGATGGATGGGGTAATGGGGAGGAATTCCTGCCTGGGAGGGTGCCAGGTTGCCCAGGGAAGCTGTGGCTGCCCCTGGATCCCTGGAAGTTTTGTTTGTCTTCCTTATGCTTTGCCTGCTCGGAATCCGCTTGTTGAGCTGGATCTGGGATTTCCCACAATGGGCTGGACAAATCCATGGATGGAGGAGAACAAAATCCTCCCCAAAATCACATCTTAAATCAAAACCTGTGCCTGTGATTGATGATACAGAACTGGAGCTGAGCTGAGCTACTAAACTTGGATTGGCCTTTGTTACTCATCTCTTAGGAGAGTTTATATGACTTAAAATTAAAAATCGATGGGCTCCCTGCTTTCCAGAGGAACTGAAAGCACTGGAAAGCTTCACTCCTCGAGTTTCTGCAGTGTGAGCACTGAGATCACTTTGAACACCTTTTCTTAGTTCTTTAAAAAATAGACCTGAATGACCAGTGTCTGATCCCTTGTGGAAAAACCAGCAGGAGGTGAATGCCAAATTCCATCTCCCCCCTTCCCTTTCTTCCAAATTACAGCTTCTGAAGTGATTTGAGTTTGTTTAGGTACCAGCAAGTTAAAGAAAGGTCTCCAAAGAGCCCTGAAGATCTTTTCAGTGTGTTGTCTAATTTTAATTAATGAGAGCTGTGTTACTTGGCTGTTCCAGGATCTAAACCACATCTTGAGGTCAGAAATTTAACCTGAAAAATGACTTGGAATTCCCATTCCATCCAAACAGTCCTGTTCAGTTCCCTCAGACTGGGCTACTTAAAACAGTCTATCATTAAAAAGAAAAAAAAATAATAATCTAGAACCTTCTTTCCCTGAAATCCTGATAAAAAGGGATCATTCCTCCATCCAATATGTCTAAGAACAACTGTTTCATCAGGAATTTTTCCCTTCCTGCTCAATTCACATGAGTTTGTTTCATTTTGGAGTCATTCTAGAGTGAGTTCTTTCCCTTCCCACATCTAAAAAAAATGACCTTTTAAAGTTACCAGTCAATTACCCACCTGCAGGGGGTCGTTGCTGGCACTGGGAAGCTCCTTCTCCCTGATCCATTCCCTGCAGGAATTCCCAGCCCTTTGAACTGAATTCTTGACCACTGGGCCTGCCAGAAACTTCCTCCAGCTAAAAGAGCATTTCCTGGCCTCTTTTTTTTTTTTTTTTTTTTTTTTTTTTTTTTTTTTTTTTTTTTTTTTTTTTTTTTTTTTTTTTTTTTTCTTTTTGTTTTTTTGGAAGTTCCTAGATGTATGATTGCCTATTGTCTGAGGCTTTCACAAATGGCTTCATCTATTCCAACCGCAGAAATTGTGCAGCAGAAATTACGGAGCCTTATCAGAGCTTATTTATTTATTTATTTATTTATTTATTTATTTATTCCCTTTTTATTTTTTATCTTTCTGACCTAAATTGGGGTCTGAACTTCGATGTGCAGGGTTGAAAGTTGAGGATGCTGACTCTCCTGTGCCACAGAGCATCTTCTGAGCGTGCAGTGATTGCACAGGTTGTGTGGTCAGTGCTTTTAACCGTCCACATGCAGGTGAGGGGCTTGGGAAGGTGATGCAGAACCCCCTGGAGTCTCAGGGGCTGCATTTTTGCAAAAATTAGAGATTTAGAACATGCCTTATGAATGAAGAACAGCAAATAGGGATAAAGATGAAGAATAAGAAATATGTATAAGAATAAAAGGTAGGAATAAGAATAGAGGGTGTACACATTCCCTTTACCTCTCTTCTTTCCCATCTTTGCTTTGAGTGCTCAAAGAAAATTAACTTCAGTTGAGATGAATCAGCACTTAGGACTCGATTTCATATTTTTCCCATGCAGCGTTAAAGGTATTTTAATTTTCCTAAAGTGTCCTCTGTTTCAGTGACAGTTAACAAAAATTACAGCTTAGTTTTTACCCCTTTCCTTCCCTTTCTCTGAAAAATACACCAGCCACTTGTTCCCACAGTCTGCTTCAGCTTCCATGAAGAAACTTCAGATCATATTAAAATCCTCTTCTGATGCTTTTGAGTGGCAGTTTGGTTGTGAACTCACCTTTTGTTCCTTCTCCTGCAGAATGATGTCAGGATCAAGTTTGAGCACAACGGGGAGCGAAGGTAAGTTGGCCCTCACTGCTTTGATTCTTTGCTTAGAAGAGAATAGTTCAGTCAGCAGCAATTTAGGTGAAATATTTTTAGAGATCAGTGTGTCATAAAACACTGATTTATTTCCATAATCCCTATATGCAGGTGAACTGCAGCGATATTAAACTGCCCAGCCTGAAATAAATTCAGCCTGAAACTTCCTACACGTTCCCATTTGGTTTTATTTGACTCAAACCAAACGAAGCTGATCAAATCAGGGTCATTCTTTTCTAGTTTCTCACTTCCTGATGCCCTGTTGCTATCACTGTCCTGCTGGGATTGAGCAACAGATACAGAGCAAGGGAAGGTTTTTGTTTTTTTTTTTTTTGTTTCATTGATGTAAAAGTTTCTTTGTTATTTTGGTTTGGAGAGATGTTCTTTTACAAGAAAAAGGCAGAAACAGCATTGTTTGCTGTGGATTAAAATTGCCTGGATAATTAAAAGTAGGTCTCCTGAAGCCTCTTACTTGCCATAGCATGGAGAGGAACTCTCAGAACATTTTGGGATTTTTATTAGGAAAGCAGAAGCATTCTTTGTTGGCAGGGCAGGCAGTGGAGAGTAATTTGTGATCTGCCTCAAAACTTGAAGTGTTTCTTTCACCAAAACCCTACACTGTGAATTCCATCCCTAAAACAACCCTGACTTTTGGTGCCTGGGGAGAAATTTTGAAAACTCATCCTCACTGGGATCTGCTGCCTGCTTTGTCAGCCAGATCTTCTCAGCACCCTGGTGGGCCAGGGGTGTGTGTGGACAGAGCAGAGCACAGCGGGACACGTCACAGTTTGTGTCACCCCGTGCTGGGATGAGGGAACTCAGCACCAAAATCTGTCCCCACGAGCTTCTCATCTTGCCTGGGTGCATTTCAGGTGGCACCAAGAGTCGGGGGGGAGAAAGGTTTGGTGGTTTGGTTGTTTTTTTTTTCTGAAGTAGCATGAAAATGAAAAGGTTGATTGTGTGTGGGTCTAATTATGCAGTTCCCCTCAGCCCAGTTCCCCGCTCCCAGCACGGTGTGCAGTTACAGACGGGGAGCCTGCACCAGAATGTGAGTGTGTGTGTGCTTGGCTTCCCTGCAGCTGCCAGAGCTGACCACAAATATTTAAGGTGGTCAGGCAGGAATGGGCTCCTCCAACCCTGCAGGCCAGGATTTTGTGCTGGAGGAGTTTCTCAGTTAATAGGATTTGTGGCACCTGAGAACAGCTCCCGCTCTGGAATGCCCTGAGTGCAGAATGGGAGCCTTTGTGAGGCACTGAGGGCTGAATGACATTTGTGTGGTGCCAGGGGCGCTGTGATTTCATCGATGGGTTTCTTAGGGAATATGGAGAAAATGTTATTGTGGGCTGCTTTTTAACAAGCACAATTGTTTCCAAATAGCTGGATGGTGGAGGACTGGTAGCAAGATGAACTTTTCCTAGGAAGCCAATTAACACAAGGGCCATTAAAAACAACAGCTGCATCTCCTGAAAGGATACCAGGGCTGATGAAACAACCCAAACCATGCCATGATTTGATGGAAAACTGGAAAGCCAGTGTAGTGAGTCCATGATTCAGATGTTTGGAGGTGTCTGACCTGACACGGAGCTCAGGGCACAGACCACCTTTGGGAAAGAGGATTTTCTGCTGTTGCCTTCCCTCAGGAGTTCAGGACTAACTTTGCTGTGGGAATATTTATTGAAACTTTTAATATCAAACACATTTTGGAGATGATTAGGGAGCGAATTTTGAGTTCAGGTACTCGGATACTTAAATTTTTGTATTCTTTTGGCCTCTGCAGCTTTTAATTCAGCTCTCCCTGAGTGTGTTTTTTGAGTGGCTCTGCCCCCTGGTTCGATGGCAGTGTGTGGGATGTGTTTCTGATTTCAGCCAGGGATTCTCTGTCATTCCAGGATTATCCCGTTTGTCCGGCCCGTGCGCTACGAGGATGTGCAGCAGAAAGTGAAAACAGCCTTTGGGCAGCCCCTGGACCTCCACTACATGAACAACGAGGTACAGAGCTCCCAGGGCCTCAGGGTCACACCTCCCCCTCCCAAATTCTGTGCCTGTAAATTGAATTTCCAGTTCTTCCTTCAATGCAAAGCGCTGATAAAGCATCACCGTGCTGTGTGTGTTGTACCGACAGCAGCTCTTGCTCCCTGGCACTGGTGGTGGTTGGGAGACTCTCTTGGGGAAGTCCAAATGGTTATTTGAAGTATTTTATGGTTGAAAGCAACTCTTGCAGGCTGATAAATATCCAGGGAGGTCTTGTTGCCCGGGGAACAAGGGGAGTCCAAGAACAGAGGGGGTTTCGGGGGGACTGTCAGTGGTGAAATGAAGTGACACAGGGAACAGCATTTGTCTCTCAGGAACTTGGGTAGTCCATGTTAATAATCTGAAGTATTTTGGTGCCTTTCTCACCTGGGCACACTGGTTTTCCCTTTGTTTTTATTGTTGTGGCGTTGCCCTCCCGCTGTTTGGAACTGCATCCCTGATGAGGGAGATGCAGAACCCCATTCACCAGTGAGAGTGAGACAGAAGTGAGAGTTCTGCAGGGTTAATAACATTCCCATTTTGGGCTAAATAGAGGGTGTCTGAGCCTGATTTCTTACAAGTTTTAAATTCTAATTTGATTCCCTCTTGCAAAGTCGTCTTCTTTCTCTCTGAAACCAAATCTTCACTTGATCAGTAGGTCTGAATTCATAAGTGCTCTGAGACCTCGCTCTCATCAGGGCTGACAAGTCCCTGGCTTGTTCTTTGCAAACAGCAAATTCAGGTAGCAATTAATATTTTTGGGGGCTGGTGCTTTAGAGAAATTTGCACAGGGTCAGCCATTTCTGTGGCATGGGAGGAAAACCTCATTAGAAAGGGGACAGTGAGACAGTATTGGAATGAAAATTTGTGGGCATTCAGAGTCCTGGCTTATATTCTGATATTTTTCTGTAAGTTTATTTGTGGAAATAAACTTACTTTTTTCTGACTTTTCTAATGTTTTTTTTTTCCCTTTTCTTTATTTTGCAGCTCTCTATCCCTCTGAAAAACCAAGATGACCTGGATAAAGCTGTGGATCTCTTAGACAGAAGCTCTAATGTGAAAAGCCTTCGAATATTATTGCTGTCTCAGGACAGAAACCATGTAGGTACCAACCCCTGGGACTGCAGCAAAATGAAGGGGTTTTTTTATCCTTAAATCTCTGAAATACAGTGACAGTAACAGGGATCAGTAAAATCACTCTTTAGCCCTTCTTCCTTTTAGCATGGGGACAACTCCCAGGGATTTTTCAGCAGCCTAATTCCATGAAATTCAGCCTTACTCAGTGGAAACCAAGTTGCCTTTGGCTGATAATGGTGTATTCATACCCAATTTTTGGGGTTTGATTGTCCTGGTTCACTCTCCTGTTCACAGGTGGCTGTGGCAGTGAGTGGCAATGTAGTTTGCTTTTTTTTTTTTTTTTCAGCAGAAAAGATGACGTCACGAGAAGTAAATCTTTAAACCAGGCTCCCAAAGATGCCCATTTTGGACAGTGAATTTATCTGCAAGCTGAGGAGTGCAAAAAGAGCCTGAATTTTCCCTTATTCCTGATCTGGGACTGTTCCCTCATCTAATATCTCTCTTGGTTTTTTTCCTTTTTCAGAATTAAGGTCACACAGCTTTTCAAGCCAAAAAAACCTTGATAGCTCAGCTATTTGATTTGCAAATGAACCAAAATCTCTGAAGAGTGTGACACAAAAAGCTGCTCTGTTGGGAACAGCTTGTGGATCTCAGATGTTCATCCCTATTCAGCTTCTGCAGGCTGGGAGCAGCTCAGACTTGAGAAATAATCACACCTAGAATTCTTGGAACTGTCAGGGAGGACTTAAATACACTTCTTGCTAGTTTTTTAATTTTGATAATCCGTGTTCATGGAAATGCAGGGGCCTTCAGGAGTGTCAACAACCCTTTCCCAAAGGACTGGGAAGGTGTAGGAGGGGATGATGCTGTTCCTTGTCCTGAGCATTTCTCACTGCCTGTTGTGAAGGACAATACTTGGCAAGAAGGCCTTTGATGTGAGCTGGTGGAGCCAGCCTTGGTTCTGTGCTGTCAGGAAACAACCTGAAAGGAAAGGTGACCTCAGCTTTTGGTGTCACACAGTCCAACAACCCCGTTTCCCAGCCTTCTGTCAGGCCACAAAACCAGGTGTTAAATGATAACCCCCTACCTTTGTACCCCTCATCCCACAGCAGCCGCTCCTGGGGTTGTTGCCCTTTTAATTAACCCTTCTAATGAGCTGGGTTTTTTCCTCTTTTGCTCAAAGCACAAACAAACAGCAAAGCCTTCAGTGAGTGCCACTGTTTCCACCTCCCCCTCTCCTCCAGCTTCCTCTGCAGCTCAGGGTGGCCTGACAGGAGAGCCCACGAGGCTGGGGGAGGTTTCTTGGCTGCATGATCTCATCCCACTGAAGGGCAGGGGGAAGCATTATTTTTCCTGAAGTACAGGATGCAGATTTTTTTTGTTTTGGTTGTGCTCTCTTTTCTTCTTCTTCTGGGGATGGAAAGGTAATGCCCTGACTTTGGCACAAACGTGGCCAGAAGGCAGATTAACTTTACAGCAGTAGCTGTGTCACTTGTACCAAGTGAACAGTGTTCAGATTCATTTTCTTGTGCCTCTTTCCGTGGCTCATTTGTGCTTTCTTTCTTTTTTTCATCAAGCAGCTCACTCCTGTTTGTCAGTCCTTTCCTCCTGTTTGGAATGCAACATCTGAAGCCAGACTGTCCACATCAGCACCCTTTATTCAGCTCCCATGAACCTTTTCATGGTGGAGTTGATGTGATTTAAATCCCTTTACTCCATGCAAGTGGATGTGCTTATTAAATGAGCAGCTCTTCAATACTTTTAATTTTGGGTTGTGTGGCCTCACACCTTGTTTGACCAAGTCAAGACGTTGAAATCATTTTCACGGGCCAGAATTAATTTCCTCAGGGTGTTTCTTGGTTCTGTTCATCTCAGTTAAAGAAGTTGAGATGAATTCTGGAACTCAAGAGGAAGGGAATATTATCATATCCTCTTGTAAAACTCGGTGTGTTGGGTCAAGATTAAAATTGAAAGTGTCTCCAGGTATTGACACAGGATCTCGTTGGCTGGGGGAGGTTTGATGTGTCTCATTCCTCTTCCTGCTTTGAATGAGGTGAAGGCACTGTGGAAAAGTGATCATTAATTAGATAATATCTAGGCAATTTCATGGAAGGATGAATAAATTCATCTTGGCCTCTCCAAACTCTTGGTGCTCTTAAATCTGCAGAATTTAATATCACTTAGATGGCCTGAATCGTGAGGGTTGTGGGGAGTTAGGTTGATTCTGGAAGAGTGCAGGATTCAGAATTTATCTCTGCTGGTGAGGATGGCTTGCTCCTAAACATGATGATGCTTTTGGCTGTTTGAGCTCCTCAGCCTCATTTGATTTTATTCTCTTCCTTTTCCCCAACAGACCAGTTCTTCACCCCACTCTGGACTGCCCAAACAAGTCAGGATTAAAACCTCCCAGTCTGTGGGGGATGTGAGCACACCCTACCAGCAGCCAGAACCCAGAAGCAGGCATCTGTCTGTCAGTGAGTATTTGTGCCACCTCTGCACGGTTTTCTTTGGTGAAATGTGTCATTTTGGGCGCTGATGTTTATGGGATGGCATTTGTGAGGGCCAGGAGAAATCAAAAGGTCATTCCAGGACAGGGCAGTTGGTTTGCAAGAGCTCTTCATGTGTTTACAGTAAAATGTTTCAATTCCTTACTGAGCTGTTGAACAGCTGAGGAGCTGCTAAAGGGGGTGTCCCAAAGCCAGATCCATTGTGGTTAGAAATTTGGAAAGCTGGTGTGAGTCCATGAAGGTTTTTATTTACCTTGGCAATTTCAGTTCATGAAACCTAGATATGATTTTTTTCTTTTTTAATTTTGGGCTTTGGAATCTCTCCTGACTCCTGTAATCAAGCAGGAATCAAGGAATTACTCCTGCATATCCAACCAGTGTCTCCTACATAACTGAGCAGCACTACTCAAACCTGTGCTTGAGGGATGCTCAAAAATATAGCTTATTATATCAAAAACCAAAACATCTGAAGCAGCTTCAAAGGTACGTGGGCCCAAAACCAAAAGAAATCTGTGATTTAGGATATAACTCCTTGGTGTGAAGATCAGTGAGCAGTGAAAGCAGGAGGAAGGTGAGAGAACATGAAGGTGATGTTCTTTGTAAATTGCTGCTGCTTTACAAGTGAGAAAAGGTAAATTTTGCTGGGAAGAGAAGCAGAGGATGAGGTTTTTTTTGGGGGGCTGCCCCTGTCCTGTCAGGAATCTGCTGTTCCCCTTTTGCAGAGTTTGCTTTTCTGAAGCAGCAAACAAACAAAGAAGTGCTGAGTGAAGGACGTGACTGAAACGGGGACAAAAAGAGTTTTTCCCATCCTTCCTGGTTTGAAGTGAACGTGCCTAAAAAAAGAGCAGCATTCCTGGGTCCTGTGAGGAAGGCAGTGCTGTCCACGCACGTCTGAACACCACGGTTCTTTTTGCACAGGCAATTTCAGTGCCAAAAATATTTTATTTAATACATCTATTTCTCCTTTATTGGCACCCTGAGGTATCCAGATAATGGTGCCAAAGCCAATAGACTGCAGTGAGTGTCTGTCATGGGTAAACTGTGTAGTAACAAGAGGCCCCTTCTGTGTCCCAGTTGTGCAGACTCTTTCCTCTCATCCCAGCTGGTGGATGCTCTCTGTCATTCATCACTCAAGAAAACATCAGTTTTGTTTTCTGAAGGTCTCAAAGAACCAGCCTGCACCTTCTGGAGAGTTCCAGTTCTGTCAGAGGTCTGCTGGTGATTTGGCAACAGCTCAGTCTTGCGTCGATTTCTTCTTCCTCCTCTTTCCCATCTTTGATTTGGGAGAGGA